AGGGAAGTAACATTTCTTCCTGTAAGACCTGCCTGGAAAGGGGGTAACCATTTTGATTGCCGTCAATGCAAAGATTAAATTCCATCTGCTAGCCACAAAACGGCCGTGGTCTTAATGGCAACTAGATGATGACAGAAAGCTTACTTATATTACCGATCAATAAGTTCTAAAGCAAAAAGCAAGATGAAAAGTTATTAACCTGTTTTAAACAGGACAATAAGACTGAAAATGCAGAGGCCATATATAAGATAGATGATGGATGAATAAACCTTTAACCACAATTTGCCATAACAACAACCACTATTTTCAGCAATGACAGCCAATGAGAGAGAAATTTAAAAACTGTAAATGATCATTATAGCAACCAAGATATTCATTACAGATTACAAAATGAAGCATTTGTTTACATTCTTCATACCGGCTTCTGCACTTGATGCCTGCCCATACGCAATGGAACCTTATAGACTTCTATGGGGCTGGGAGATGGATAGGAGCTGAGCTGTATCCCAGTCAAATAGACGACTACTGAGCTCTAGGGTGCATGCTCTGTCATTATGCGTCAGCGCAAAAGATGTAAATACTGTGGCAGACTTTAGCGGTGAGACCTTGGTAAGTATGAAGTTGAAAAGTTGTCTTTACTTTTCAAAGCCCAGTCAGAGTATTTTGTTTCCATCCTTCCCTTCCACCCACCTCTAACCCATCCTGATAGGCTTTTGTTTCCCCTTACCTTGTGAACTCGGATATACTCACCTGAGTTCCCCCTGTACGTCCCTTACAACTGCCGCCGCTTCTGGGTGGAGGCATGCCAAGATCACCGGTGCCCATCACTGCCCTCCACTGATGTCAGTCCTCTTCTGGATCCTGCGAGGACCCAGTCCAATGGACATCCAATAGGAAGTATCCACGTAATGCAGGCGCTGACATGGACACTCAAAGAAGGAACCAAAGCAGGAAGTAAACAGAAGAGAAGACTGTGGGCTGCTTTAATCGGAGAGGGAGATCCCTGCGGGAAACGGTGTCTGACCGTCACCACTCTCTGCAGGGAGGTGATCGGGAAGTGAGCGAGCGATGGTATGTGTTTGTTCACCTCCCAATCTATAGAGCCAACGTGTGACAGCTTCATTGTCACATGTAGCCTCTAACTATGAGGATGAGTGCAAGTCACTCACCTCATAGTACTCCTTTAAGTTAAGCATCCCATAGTGGGGCGTGGGAGAGAAATGAAATGTATCCCGGAGTTGAGCTTTAATCCTATACTCCAGGCACACATTTGCAAGATATTTGCATTCTTTAATACATTATTAAAACATATTTATTAAATGCAAGCAGTTTAAATACCTGACTTTGATGAGAATTTAATATATTGGGTGGTATTTATTAATAGCATCACATAAAAAAGGTAAGCATTATTTTAAGTGAAAATACACCTACACACTCTTTACACTGAGTGGCCAGATTATTATGACCACCTGACGTTTGTAGGCAAATTAGCAATAATTGGCTATAATTTTGCGCTGAAGTTGCTAGAGGGCCAGACCATTATAAATAGGGAAGCAGGTTGTTTACCACGACAGTAGAAGTAATTTTTTTCTGAAGATATGGGTAAACAAAGCGATTTAACAGCCTTTGGACGTGGGATGATTGTTGGCTCTCAAGCCATGGAGCGAGTATCAGCAAAACAGCAGAATTCGTTAAATGTTCAAGAGCAGGTGTTGTTAAAGTGTTTAAAGACTGGACTGTCAGCCAAAAATCTGTACGTGTGACAGCTTCATTGTCACATGTAGCCTCTAACTATGAGGATGAGTGCAAGTCACTCACCTCATAGTACTCCTTTAAGTTAAGCATCCCATAGTGGGGCGTGGGAGAGAAATGAAATGTATCCCGGAGTTGAGCTTTAATCCTATACTCCAGGCACACATTTGCAAGATATTTGCATTCTTTAATACATTATTAAAACATATTTATTAAATGCAAGCAGTTTAAATACCTGACTTTGATGAGAATTTAATATATTGGGTGGTATTTATTAATAGCATCACATAAAAAAGGTAAGCATTATTTTAAGTGAAAATACACCTACACACTCTTTACACTGAGTGGCCAGATTATTATGACCACCTGACGTTTGTAGGCAAATTAGCAATAATTGGCTATAATTTTGCGCTGAAGTTGCTAGAGGGCCAGACCATTATAAATAGGGAAGCAGGTTGTTTACCACGACAGTAGAAGTAATTTTTTTCTGAAGATATGGGTAAACAAAGCGATTTAACAGCCTTTGGACGTGGGATGATTGTTGGCTCTCAAGCCATGGAGCGAGTATCAGCAAAACAGCAGAATTCGTTAAATGTTCAAGAGCAGGTGTTGTTAAAGTGTTTAAAGACTGGACTGTCAGCCAAAAATCTGGGTCTGAACGTGTGAATTGTGGCAGTCAGCGACTAGTCAATATTAGGGCAGAACGGAGAGTGACAAGACTGGTACAAGACAACAGAAGGGCAACAGTGCAGTGTCAGATTCCTCCGATTCACCTTTCAACATCTCGTGGAGTCATGAGGCGGCCCAACGAAGTCATCTCGTGGCCCAACGAAGTACTGATGGGGCGGTCATAATAATCTGGCCACTCAGTGTACACTTTCTTTAATAAGAAATAAACCTTTTTTTTCCCTACACCAGTGTTATCTTCAATGCCTAATTACCCCATTAAGTAAACATAATGCTTTCCGTGTCCCTTGGTATTTGCTGTGCTTCCCCAGTTAGGCACTTGGTTGCTAAGAGTATCCAGTTTATTAATAAAGCTTTCTAATTAGGAAAACACCTTATACACTGCACGGTTATCAATGGAAAATATAACATCTAATCTCTTTGCAGCCCATAAACTGCTGTAGCTGAAATCAGCCATTTACAGGCACGCTGCTGCATGTTCAGCAGCCCAATTGTTAAAGCAAGTTGCCTAATAAAACTTGCAGCAGTTGTGTCTGTCACAGGAGAGTCGAGCAAATAAAGATGGTGAGAAACACATCTAGCGGAAATCTTCACTGCTTACCGAGCTGGAACACAAAACATCTGATATATTGACATCAATAGAAAGGCCTTCCCAGGACTGCAATTCTTTCCACGCATTACCGTCTTCCCTGTGTGCAAGTATTAGGTCCATATCTTTTAAACACCGCAAGAACCATCATTTATCTGGGAAAGGTTCTTTATATTTATCTGTGGAGGGGAAAATTTCCATCCAACTCAGGAAAATGAGCGTTTTACAGCACTAAAGTCTTAATAAGTTTCCAGCGGCACAGCTCAGAGCCTGGGAATAAGGGGATACCTCAACTACAGCCGCAACTGCTGGCTTACTGATGTAGAGGAGTGCTGGAACCATTCGGTGGGTAATGGGTGTAAACCAATAATAACACATTGTATCCTTAGATAATGGGCATATGCAGTACAATCTGCCTTCTAAGCACTGACCAAGGAGTTAGCTCCAGGTCCGGCAGAAGAGGGGAATATCATCATGACTTGCCAGGTACAGACCCTATATCAAGAGTAGGCAAACTCTGGCCCTCCATCTGTGGTGAAACTACAAATCCCTTCGTGCATCAGTCTCTGTGAGACATGACTGTGGCCGTCGGTCTTGCAATGTCTTATGGAGTCTGTAGCCTACCCCTGAACCCTGCCCTAGATGTTTTTGCAACCTTAGTGCTCTAAAAAGCCAAACGACCCATTAATACAGATAATTATCTTAAGCCCTGGCTCACACCTAGGCGGCACCATTTTTGCGCGTTAGCAGCATGCGATTATTTTTGCGTTTATGTGCGCTGCGCACATTTGTATGTGCGTTTTAACGCGCTTACATGAAGACGCGCATTTTGTTTGGCAGCTCATAAATCATTGTGGGCAATGGAAGAACATGCGTATAAATGCACACAAACTTAAGAAAATGTGCAACATGCTTTTGTTGTGCGTTTTTGGGCATTTCCAATGAAGTCTATGGGGAGGAAAATTGCTTTTAACTGCCCAAAGAAGCTCCTGTACCTTTTCAGGCGTCTGGCGTTTTCCTGCTCAGACGTGAACTGGGGCCATTGAAAATCATGGGATAGACTTGTGTCACTTGGAGAAACCAAAATACTCATAACTCAGACTGTATATAAAAGGTCAGAGGTGATTCAGCGCTGAAAGAAGTAAAAGATGCCTCAATGGAATGCAACCCGCCTTCTTACAGGAAATCTTAGTGCATTCAATAAACTGTCAGTGAAATGTTAGATGATAATGTTCCAGGATGTGTCTCACTGGACCTCAGGCTGCCCTTATCATATGAGAACTCTGTGGATGACAGCAAATGATGCAGTGTTACAGCTTTTTGCCACAATAACATATTGTCTGGGAAAAATCACAAAGCAAGCCGAGTTCCATTGTAAAGACAATATGTCAATTTTCCTTGCAGCCCGAACAGTGTGGACAAAACGGATAGTTGGGGTAATATCTAAAACAAAAACCTTTCTTTCCACATTAAGAATTGAGTAGGAAATGGTCAACACCTAGGTTGTTTTTTTGTTGCCATCTTGAAATATCTCCCTTCATTTCCAGTCATGTAGATACAACAGGAAATACCCTAGACAGTTGCCACTGAACAGGTCTCCCCATTGGAAGCTTTTCCATTTATTCCCGGTTTAGTGTCAACTCAAAAACGATTTTCAATCACTTTTAGTCATGGTTAAAAGTGGTCACCGGGACAAATCCTGTGAGTTTGGGGAGCCAGACAAATAATAAAATAAGAGTTCTAACTCTTCACCACTACCCAGAACGGAAAAAAAGTGTTGGCTTTACATACACTTTGATAGGGTAGCATGATGCAGAGAGATATTCGTTTTGTGCTTTAGCAGTTCCCTGTACCAGTTCAAACATTGCTGTGAAGATTCAGCCATTCATATAACCATGTTTGCCCAGTTATTAGAAGACAACACACACATATGGAGATGTAAACCTCCAGGGAACTACAAGGATATTCTTACCTTGGCTCTTCCGGTGCTCTGTAGAATGTGGACTAATGCGCAGGCCATCTCCTCCTTATTGCGGACACTGATCACCGGCTCCAGCACAGAACATAGCATTGTATAGTTTATAGTAATAAACTCAGCAAACTCTTTGTACTGCTCCATAGGCAAGATAGTGATTGTCTGATAGCGGGATTTAATACGTATTGAAGGGCCCACTGTCTTGCCTTTGTTAGCGGTAGGTGTGCTCACAGGGTACCACTTCTCCACAAACTGCCTGCCAGTCACGCTGGCCATGGGGATGTTCACTAAGCCCACATAATTGTTCTTATCCTTTTTCTTTTTCTTATCTACATCCTTATAGATGTGCACGGTGATATTGTGGATAGGGGGCAGTCCAGAGAACTCAAAGTGCTCTCCCCAAAAGATATTGTCCGCTTTTGTTTTGCTTGTGGTGCGAGCAAAAAGTGTGTCGTCCAGGCAGAGCTCGCAGAAATACTTCTTTTTTGGGGCCAGGTCTTTGGCCTCGATAATCCACAGCCGCAGCACATTTTCCGCCCTCCGGCAGTTGTCCTGAAGGTGAGAAGTTAAAACAGGAGGTTAGAAGTATTTCTGAGCAAAGCATGAAGATAAATCTCCAGTCGAAACTGAATCAAACCTTTCAATTCCCAGGAGACATCAGCCCCTCGAGTTACTTTTTATTTATGTATTCCAGCACAAAGGTAACATAGCTTTAAATCAGCAATCAAATATGTGTCCATATGTCATTTTCCTTGCAGAAAATGAAACTGTCCCCGATGTGTCACTATAAATAAATATATGTAAAAAAACTCACATTCTACACTACTGGACCCTCTGATGTATCGCGCTCTCCTTCCTGCAACTTGGAGTGTGACTTCCATTAGTGCCATTTGGCAGCAAACAGAAGAGGGATGCAGAGCAACATAAATGTAAACTAGACTAAAAGCTTGCTATATGGGTTGCTTTCATGAAAGACTAATTCATTGTGACATATTTGATTTAAACTCTAATGTGCTGCTGGGTCTATTTTAAGCTGCTCCATTAACTCCTGATATGTCTAGCTAAAGACTGAGGACATTTAAAGAGAAGCTGTAGTTAGTGTTTGCAGCCTCGGTCAATCGCTGTTTAGATAAATATTTTTACCAACCTCATGGTTCTGAATATTTTCCAGCATGTTGGCTTTAACGCATACTGTTGACAGGGCAATTTGTTTGGTTGCAGGCTATCTGGCAGGTGAGCTGGGGATTTTCTGTGTTTTGTATTGTTGTAAGCCTTCCCAATGTGCACCCTGCCGTAAAGGCTAGTTATAGATTCATGCAGGTACCATGTTTTTTCTAGTTTGACTATTTTTGGTTGAGAGGACGCACTGGGGTCCCAGCGTGCATTTTTGGTTGCTGGGCCTCCAGTGCGTCCCTGCACCTTATTAGGAGGAGTTGGCTGCCTCCTGGTACACCTGCATGCAATTTATCGACTGCATTAATATGCTCACACTTGGAGACTCACATACATAGAGTTCGGACCACACCTTGCAGAGGTGCCTTGGCATGGCGGTGTGGCTTCTACATATTTTTGGCCAAAAGTTTGTGCAACTAAAACCTCTGATTTTAACGCATACTGTTGACAGGGCAATTTGTTTGGTTGCAGGTGAGCTGGGAATTTTCTGTGTTTTGTAATGTTGGCATAAAAGGCAAAGTGAAGCTACAGATCGCTAAATGCTCAAAAAAAAATAGTATCTGTTTCAAACCTATACATGTAAGATTACTATAAGATTGCAACAAGCAGATATTATTAGACTGGTTGAAAATATGTCCCATATATGGCCAACATTTGTCTTTGTCGTTACCGTACAATATTGGCGCAATACACTAAGGGGGAATTTATCAAAACTGGAGCAGACAAAATCTGGAGCAGCTGTGCATGCCAACCAGTCAGCTTCTCTCTTTAGTTTGTTCAGTTAAGATTTGAAAATGAAAGGGAGATGCTGATTGGTTGCCATGCACAGCTGCTCCAGAATTTGTCTGCTCCTGGTTTGATAAATTCCCCTATGAAGTCTATTAAACACAAAGAGGGGATTTTATCAAAACTGGAGTAGACAAAATCTGGAGCAGATGCCAGTGGCAACCAATCCGCTTCTCTCTTCAGTTTGTTCAGTTAAGGTGCCCATACACTGCACGATTATCGTACGAGAATCGCAGGAAATCACGCGATCGTACGATAATCACAAAGTGTATGGAAGGCATGCAACCGTTTCTACTGTACGGTCGCACGTCTTCAGTCGAACAAGCAGGCTGGAAAACCCGCCGTGAATTGTACGATTCTCGGCGAGTTAGTGGCCTGCTTGTTCGACAACTGCCGAACGGGCTGGTGTGCGCAAACGCACACTGCCCGTTTGCAGTCATCGGAAGCCCGCCCCTCAGGGGGGCGGGCTTGCGATAATCGCATATACGATCTGCCTGTCCAAGATGGGCAGATCGTACGTTTTTCTAATTACTTTACAACACTTGCAAGACTAAAGTCTTGCGAGGGTTGTAAAGTGTATGGCCACCTTTAAAACCTTTAAGATTTGAAAATGAAAGGGACAAGCTGATTGGTTTCCATACACAGCTGCTCCAGTTTTGATAGAATCCCCTCAAAGACTTTTAAAGTGCAAATGGCACAACAATGTAGAAATAAAACTGGAAAGCAGAACTACATCTCCATGTCTGATTTTTATTGTTTTGGATGGATGGTTTGGAAGTTTTAGGCCTTTACCAAACAAAACTGTTTCCAGCAACTTCCTGCTTTTATAAAAGTATTTTCAGCAAACTAGCTATCACACACAGTACAACTCCCTTCTCCAAGAACACTTCGGCCCCACAAACTTTATCAGAAATCAGCTGCAGAGTCCAATTTCAACCTTTGGTGCTTACATTGCTTGGAATCACAAAAGAGAAAAATGCAGAAAACGTGATACTGCAAGTGTTACGGGAGACAAGCGCTGCCCTTTGGTGCAGCATTACTACTGCGCTGTTCATTAGTATACTTATTGGCGAAAAAAGACGGAGGATGATGAAAACATTCAGCTGCGGCTTGTTTTCCTTGACGCTTACCTTATTAGGTTGGACGGTCCTCCGTAGATTTTCCATCCACTTGTCTCTCTCTGCTGCAGATGAGCAGCTAAAACATTTGCTGCCACTGGAGTAAGTGACCTGATGGGAGAATATTGACGAGAAGAAAAAAAAGGAAATAAATGAAAGGTCACTTAGGGATTGGTGTTAATAATTTACACTCTGCCTCTTATAAATACATATAGTTTTACCTCAAAACAGAAGTCTTGGCCCAATATGCTGCTGTGTAGTGGCTTCACCAGGATCTTATCTTCTATCCCTAATTCCAGAGCCTCCACCGCACTGCCTGGGCTCAGCAATGACTCATGGGAACGAGATTCTTTCAGTTTAGGTAACCCACGTGACCTGCATTAAGAAAAGACTGTAATTAAAACAGCTGCAGGTCCCTAGGACATTGGAAATTCCCATTCATTTGCAAATTACTTCATTTATACACCATGCACATGGAAAACAGGGCCGACCGACCCCATGGCTTTCAGCAAAAGGTCCAAGGATCAGCAACAATACAGTCTAAGAAGATGCCTGCCAAAGTTTAATAATAAAAAACAATGTGCAATGTCAACATTTTATAGTTTGGAAGGGTCAGAACCTCTAAGTTTTTTATCTGCTTTGTCCCACTGAACAGGACTTCCCTCACTTCCTGCTCCAGTTACTGTGGTCACCAAGACAGGACATGATTGGAAATCTCTTCAGTGGGGACACATACAGTAGGGCTCAGAATCTATTTTCTTATGTTGCATCTGGGCCGCTGTCAGAGATTTCCTTTCACTTTCTGTCAACCATCCCTCACATAGAAACTCCTCAGAAGGAATACACACAGAAATAAAAGCCTGACAGAGCTTCTAAGCCTTCCCCGTTTAAAAATATTTTTTTTATTGGAGTTGCACTTCAAAACTTCAACAAACATACAATGGCAGCTTTTAGAGACAGCATTTTTAATGACAACCTTTAAGTATCTTGTTTTTTATTTTATAAATGGAGATGACAGGAGGTGGTCACAAAATATTTATAGAATGTCTCTTTTTGGAAGTATTCTTTTTAACATTTGTAATGGCCTCATATTACCCGCAGACTACACAGTATGTTTTTGTGCACAGTGCTAGTGGAGGCAAATATTTAAAGAGGATTAAAACAAAAACAGCAAGGATTTAAAATGTGTAATCAGGAAAGTGACAGCATCAGACAATATTATCAGTATTAAAACAAAGATGATCATATAAAAGAAAGAAAATATTTTGTAAAAGTCAATCTTGATATTTTGAAAACTTAGCCCGTTCCAGATAAATGTATAAACCTTAAAAGGAGCCTGCGAGTTAAGTCTTACAGGAGCCCGAGAGTCAACTCTTACAGGAGCCCGAGAGTTAAATCTTAACGGTTCATAAGAGTTGAACATAAAAAAACAAAACAAAATCTAAAAACAAGTTTATTTATGTAAAACAAAAAAACAAAAGTTATGCCTTTTAGAATCACTTTTTACAGTATACAACTGCACAACATTGAGTAAAATTAAATAATTACATTTTTATCAGCTGCTTACTAACCACGTAGTAACACAAGGAATATTGCATGCTGTGATACATAATAAAATTCAACTTACATGAAGCAATTATACAGCCACCTTGCTGTGCATGACCAAATCATAGCTAGGACTCATGTCACAAAACCTCACCCATCCATCGCTCCTTTGCACAAAGGTCAGGGGTCACACGCCAGCAAAGATTTAAATAGGCCAGGAGGAATGTCGGGTAACCAGGCCGGACATAATGCCTTGGGAGAAAGATGTCCTCACAGTCTTATAATATTACCATACAGGCTTGGATTCCGATCATTCCGGGCTCAGGGGCAGAACTGGCAATCACTGAAATAAAATCTGGTCTCAAATAGCTGGCTACTGCATCCTTCCCCTCCTCCTTTAGCATCCCGCCCCTCAGGTAGCACAAACAGAGTCCCGGTGTGCCCAGGCTGCTGCTCTCTGGGCCTGTTGCTATGACAATGCACCTATAAGCAGATTACAGCTTGCAGGCAAGCAGGCAGAAGCTGCAGCCGGGCTGGCTCAAAGAGCATGCTCTGTAAACATTGCAAAGGTCACCTTTTCAAGCAGCTTCCCTTGCATAAACCCGACCCGGACAAGGAGATGCTGAGGAGGAAAGGGGGGCCCCCTTCTGAAGACTGCACTGCACTTTTCCCAAGAGGGGACAGATCAGTGACACTTAATGCGTCAAACCTCCTGGAAGCATCTCCGCAGGGAGAAATTACCACCTCCAACCCTTTACTGACATCTGCTTATTTCCTCTGACTCTCCCTTAGTCATCGCACTATATGACAAACAGGCACCTTGGTGGACCTGGGATTGAAGACTGTAAAAGGGGAGGCTTAGGTGCACGTGCAAGGGTTAATGGCGCAGCTCTGGAACAAAATGGCTGCCTGACACTTCAACCCAAACTAGCAAAGTATCAAAGCAACCTCCGGTCAATGCGCACTCCTGTAAGGATGAATTACAGGGCTCTTCCTGTATTACCAGGGAAGCTATTGGAAAACTGAGCAGCATTTAGCTGGCCATGCACAGACACAGATAATCCTATGGAAGCAGGATTACAGTTAACAGCAGAATCCAGAGTGGCAGGGGAGGGAGCATCCTTTACACAATATAAATCCATGTCAAGCAACATGGAACCTCTAATAGGTATGTTTAGAGCTGGCGCCCATTACAGGAAACCACTATCATTATTCTACAGCCTGTCGGGTCACCTGAATCTTAATGCTATTAATGCAGCAGGTCTGTATATCCAGAGGCTGCACTTTAAACAAGTGACTCCCAGCTCTGCAGAATTCTCTATTTATAGACATTGAATCTACATACATCTAACAGTAATTAGCTGATCAACTATCAAACTCTGCCAATGACTATGGCTAAGCAAGAGTTATCAGTCATAACTGGGGTGGACAAATCAGGGCACATAGCTAGCAGACATATTTAAGAAATACCTTCTAACAGCAAAAGAAAGGTTATCTGTTCCTCTCTAGAAATGGCATCTGTGGTTTGTCCAGCTCTATTCATACCAAATAAAAAGCACCTTAGAGGGATGAACAAAGTTTGATTCGGCCCAGTAGGATTTTTTTTTACTTCACATCAAGTAATCAAAAAGCCTTGAATTGTGAAACATAAAAATTCTAACTGGACTAAATCAAGCTTGGTGGCACTTCCATCCTTTTACATCTCTACAGACCGATCCAGGGACTCTTTGGGATGCCCCAGTTGACAGATGGCTTCCTCGAAGGCTCACACAAGGTAAAAACAGTCAGTTAAGACACATTTCTACTGCCTACTGAATGCCCATGTACATATAACATGGTGGTTGATCAGGACCATCCACATTGCAATGCTCACAATGCTTTGCAGTGTGGTAATTTTAACTCTACTTGTTATGTTTTGAAGGTGCCACTGCCTGCCCAACGTGCCTGCTCCATAATAGCGTGCCAGCCAATTGGTACACAGTTGTAGGTCAATATTTTAATGTACAATACACCTTGGGATGAAAGAAGAAAAAAAAGCAAGAATTCAGGAGGCAGCAGCATGGTCTCCCGAATGCCTGAAAACCACCTATCCACCCCACATTGCCCCCTGTGTGAAGGAGGCCTAAACGGTAGTCTTTTTACGTCTGCTTTCTGTCTATTTGGAGATCCAACACTCCACTGACAAATACCTAAATAAAAAACACCACAAATAAGACTATGTTACCCATAGCAACTAGATTCTACCTTTTATATAATTAAAACAGAAAGCTATGACTTGACAGCTATGGAAAACCGACTTGCCTTTTAGAAAGTTCTGTTCTACAGTTTGTATGTTCTCTCTGTGCTTGCGTGGGTTTCATTCAGGTACTCCAGTTTGCTTTGCTCAGGGCAAGGCTATACTGGTTAGAATCTGGCCTCTACCCCTCCTCCATAGGCATAACCTTGAACACTTGGGTCATCCAAGTATGTATGTTTATGGTATGATCACTGAAAAAGGGGAATTGGTGTTTGGATTACACCCGATACTCAGAATTCCATCCTATGTCTTTGGCACAGACTCAACAGCATCAACAAGTGGAAACTATTTAATAATGAGCTCAACTAAAAAAATAGCATCATTCAACTAAGGAGCACACAAAAAAAAATCTAAATACGTTTCCATGAGAAACTCTTCCACCAGATTGGATAGTTACCCCGTGTACTGCCCCACTAGAATACAAGTCACTTCCCAGCTATTGTGTTGCACATGGAAAAAGTTTGCAATATAAACCAGCAAAGCAGTAACCTCAGACCTCAATCTATTGCTTTTCCTAAAGTGGTTGAGAAACTCCATTAGAAAAACCAGCATCTGGGAAAAAGGTGGTTGAAGCTAATTACTTTGGTGCCACTGCTCAATCTGACCCATTTAAGAGACTGCCTAAAAGGAGGGAGCATTTTACAATCACTCAGCATGCTGTGAGACTTTATCATATTGCCTTGAAATCTGCCTGCGAGGATTATGAAATCAGAAAAAGGATAATACCGCATTAATAGAGCATCGGCAACCATCAACAGCACAGACTCACATTACATCCATTAGCTGATATGGAGACAGGGGGAAAGACTGACATTCTGCTGCAAGGCACAGCAGCTCCCATTATACCACACATTCTAAATGGTGTTTAACAGAATAGAAGAGACACAATGCAGCTCGGGAAAGTCAAAAGACTGTATACAGACAGACCTTTCGATTACAAGGAAAATGCCTGTTTTGAAAAGAAAATCATAAAGCAATCTTAAGGTACCAAACACAGGGCTTGCAATTTCATGGAAGGGTGCACCTAAAACAAGCTTTACATTGAGCAGCAACTTAAAGTAAACCTGTCACTTAGCCCATTCACAGCAAAATGGCAGATTGCCTCAATTATTTTTTTCCTCCATCCATTGACATTTGATGTCACAGCTCCCACCCTGTTGTTCCATTCACCTTACCAGACCCCTGTATAATATTTGGTACATTTATCTATTAGGTAGCACATAACCGCTACTTCTTTTTACAATGCAGTGCATTGCACCTGAATGGCAAATCGCCATGCCCAAGTACTGGCACATAGCCTACTCAGGGCTCAAGTAGGAAGATAGGGTGAGGGAAGAATACAGGAAGTTCTAACTTGGGGGGAAAGGGGGTGGGGAGGGACCTTAATAACAAACTGTACAAATTTGAGGGTTGATTTGCTATCAAAGTTTATTAATAAGATGTCTTCCAAGAATAGTGCCTCTTTGTAAATAAACTGTCTAAGGGCCCATTCAAGAAAAAGAAGCATTCATTTGAATTGGCTGCCAATCAACAT